CTTCTGGAATCCCCCTTATTGGAATCATATGTTCATGCCTCCCATTGATCCTATATTGCCCTGATGATGAATCACGATTCACTGGACCAGTACAGTGGTTTCAAGATCACCAGGACAAGATCTGGTTACTGGATTCCTTGCAAGTGTATCTAAAACTCAATCACCTTCACACCTCACCTCGTCAGTTTCTGCTGTGTAGTCTCCAAATCTGCATAAATTCCTTCCCAAGTTTCCAAGCAGTGGTTGCAAACACCACCAGCAGTCACATCTCTAGCCTGAGTCCGGCTCACAAATCTGGATACTGGATACTGAATGAGACACAGGAGCAAAGGAAAACCCACTGTCAAAATCATCTCAGGCTGCCAGGCCTCTGCTCAGCACAAAGAAGAAATAGGAACATGTACTTCCAAGAGGCAGTATAGTCTATTTTTCATAGCACAAAGAAGAAATAGGAACATGTACTTCCAAGAGGCAGTATAGTCTCATCAATATTTTTCATGAAAAGGGGATTTTTAAAACAATACATGCATAAATAAAAGCATTAGAACATCAAACATGTCACTCACACTTTTACATTTTACTTAATTTTCTCTGAAATTGCTCCCCCAGTAAGGCAAAAGCCATATTGATTTGCCCACCATTATATCACTCATCTCACAGAGCCTATGACATAAGCCCAAAACAAGTTGATGAATACCATGGAAATCTCAGTACATTGCTAGATCCCCAGAGGGCTTTGTGTCCAGCCATGGTGGAAGACAAATGGGGAAGATGCTCCTAGTGCTTACATTGCTACGACATGTGCAGAATTAAGTTCCAAGAGAGATTCATGAAAATAAGTCATTTGAAATGTAAAAATGAAGCCGGATGTGGTGGCGCAAACTTTACTCCCAGCACCCGGAAGGCAGAGGCAGGAGGATCTCTGTGAGTTCAAGGCCAGCCTGATCTACACAGCGAGTTCCAGGCCAGGTGGAGACCCTGTCTCAAAAAGACCAAAAAAAAAGTAAAAAGGAAAGTTCAGTTTCTCTTCGCACTGATTATTTTTTGTCTGTAGTGAATTCATTATCAGTTTCCAGTTTTAATCATTACCAAAAAGAGTCTCATAAAAGCAAAAAAAGACTATCAAAACAAGCAAGTGCTCCAGAACATGGATAGACACAAGAGAGCACTTAGAGGACATTAATTAACTAGTACTATGTCTTTTGATAGTCAAGATTACATATGTACCTGTAAACATGCTTTTAATGTTGTGTGTGTATGTGTAAGAGTGTAGTATATGTGTGTGTGTGTGATATGCACATGGGTGTGTGCAGTTCTACATGCCCATGTCTGGCTCTATCACTTTCCACCTGTCCCCTTGAGTCAGGATCTCTCCCTGAACCTACAGCAGGAAGTCCCAGTGATCCTCCTGACTCGGCCCTGCCTCCCTCCCTCCCTCCCTCCCTTCCAGCACTGGGGTTACAGGCATGTGCAACCACTCCTAGTTTTTTTTAAACTGTGTTCTAGAGATTTGAACTCAGGTCTCATGCTTGCACAGCAAAACTCTTACCTGCTAAGCCATCTTCCCAGCCCGTAGACATTTTCAACTGATTGGTCTTAACCTTATCTACTCAGAGGAGATATTTATAAGAGATTTCTTGAATAATTTAAGTTTGAAAATAACTATATACAGTAGAGCAGTAGTGTGTCCTCAGGTTATAATTTACCATTGAATTATAGAAGTTTAATACAGTATACCTTTTTATTTAGCTTGACTTCTGGAAACCAGATTCTGCCACACTAATCAAACCTCACAGTACAGTTGACTTTCATGTCAAAGCAGAAGATACTGCTGTTGTGAAGGACTTTCTGGAACAGAATGAATTTCTCTATGAGTAAGTTTATGCTTTATAGCTATTAAAATTCTTTCCTTCTTCTTTAAGACTAACCATGGGATGCTAAAAAATGAGGTGATGACTATGTGTCTTCGTTTGTTCTCCATTGCTGTGACAAAACACTCTGACCAGTACCAACTTGGGGAGGAAAGGGTTTATTTGTCTCACATCTCCCAGGTCACACGCAGTTCATCAGGGAGCCCAAGGTAGGAACTCAGGGCAGGAAGGAACCTGAAGGCAGGAGCTGGAGCACAGGTCATGGAGGAACGCTGCTTACTGGCTTGCTCTCTTGGCCCCTGCTCAGCCTGCTTTCTTATGCAACACAGGCCCACCTGCCCAGGGGTGGCACCACCCACAGTGTGCTGGGCCCTCCCACATCACTCATCAAGAAGATGCCCCTCAGACATGGCCACAGGCCAGTCCAATAGAGGCAATTCCCCGACTGAGGCTCCCTCAACCCAGGTGTGTCACGTTGACACTAAAGCTGTCCAGCACACTATGTTTTACCCACACAAAGAGGTGACAGCAGAACTGACACTGGACTCTGTATTTTAAGACTTGGTAGATTTCATGTTTAGTTATTGTTCTAATGAAAAATGCTTTTACACTCTTGAACCAGTCAAATATGTGACCTGCTACTATTTTTAAAGTGATATATAAAGGTCAAACCAATGAACACTATTATCACCTGACATAGTTTTATCCTCAGATTTTCTTTCTGGGTTATCAGACTTCTTGTGAACAGTGCAAGCTCTTCATCGTCTTCTAGTTTAAGAATAAGACTAGGGCTAATCTGTCCTTTGCTAAAGAGCCCATCACTCCCTCTAATGATAAAAGGGTGGAAGAAGAATTAAAAGGAAGGAAAGTGATCTCCAAAAGACTAGAGAGGAGTTGGATAAACTGATCAATTTCCTCTCCCCAAATACCACATTGTTCCGTCTACATCTTTCACAATGAGAACGTCCACCTAAGAAGAGAAAGCTGTCATTGCTGACCCGAAAAAATAGACACTGATCCTGGCTGCATTCAGTACAGAAAAGGATAGCTATGGCTTCGAATACAATAGGGGAATTAATAGACTTTAAGTGATGGATTGGGGCAGTGCATAATAGATGACAGAAAGAGCAGAAAGCTTGAGATTGAGGGAAACAGATGAAGTTTAGGAGTCAGGGAGGGCTGACTTCGACTAAGAACTAAGGACATGGGAGTTAGCCAGGCAAAGACATAGAAAAACCTTCCTCTCAGCAGAGAATAGACAATACGCTAAGGCTTGGGGGTGGGGAGAATGTGATGACTAAATACAACTGCAGGAGAGGGAATGAAGAATGATCTGTAGGACAGTACCGAGCTCTTCTCCAGGGAGAGACCAAGGAGGAGCAAAAGAAATACTCAAGGTTCAGCTCTGAGTGTGCAAATGTTTATCCAACGATCCCTAACCACATGGTGTGGGTGCTGAACTCAGGTCCTCTGGAAAAGCAGTATACACCCTTAATTACTGAGATGTCTCTCCAACCCAACATAAAAACTTTTTTGTTTTTTTTTTTGTTGTTGTTGTTGTTTTTTTGTTTTTTTTTTGTTTTTTTTTTTTTTGGTCTTTTTGAAACAGGGTTTCACTGTAGCCCCAGCTGGCCTGGAACTCACTATGGAATCCAGACTGGCCTCGATCTCACAGAGATTCATCAGTCTCTGTGTCCCAAATCTTAAGATTAAAGTAAAGGCACACGCCCAATTTATAAGAGCCCTTTTTAAAGATTTAACAAAACTACTATGTTTAAGTTCATTACCATGCCTCATATGACTTAGCTATCTGACCCTTCCTGAGGTTAAGTGTCAAAATGTGACCTTAAACGTCCTTCTTGAAAGCAAATATAACCTAGTAAATTGCAAGGTATGATTAAGATTCATGTCTGTGGTATTTTGTTATTATCTGGCAAGGATAAAAAGCTCAGCTTTGGAACCTCAGTAACATTCAAGGGGATGAGCTGTTTCTCTAGAATTCTTTGAGAAAAATAAAGGAAAACCAGTAACAATGGACTAACACTAGCAACTGAAATAACTCCCAATTCTCTTCATATTTTGAGACAGTGAAATGACTTCTGAACCCCTCTCAATCTTCATTTACAGTGTCAGCTCGAAGATTCACTCCCTTCTTCTAAGAGCAAGTTTCATGGAATTGTGGATGAATGTGTAGAATGTAGGGAGCTCCCTAGGACTTAGATTTTGATTTTTTTCTTCTCTGCTCACTGCTGAGAACACATGTAACATATAATTTTCTAAATGCTAAACCCTAGGAATCCTGAAGAATCTCTCTAGCAACATCACACTTTTATTTCATAGGGCAACTCGTTTATATTTCATTTCCTGCTGGTAAGAACTTACAATTGTTTCTTTGTGTTTAACAGGGACCATCAATTACACAAGTTCCACCAAAATAGCATTCAGATTCCTTCAGTGGTTCACCAAGACTTATATCATTTAGCAGTTTTAAACAGATGTTAAATTATCATGGGAAATATTTTAAAATGCCTGCATAAAAATAAACTGCATTATTACACCGCAAGATTGTATCCCTAAGCAGAGAAAGACTGGGAATTGAATAGTATCTGCCCTCAGTTCGCAGTCTGAAGCCAAGCTACAGAATCCTTTGATAGGCAGCACTGTAAGTCCCTTCCTACAAATTCCAAAAAGACTGCTTTCCCCTTATCCAAACCAGAGAAAGGCTACATGCTGCTAACTACATATACTGTCATTTTTTCTGCATATTTAAGAATTGTGCAGAAAAGTGTCATGAGTCCATATCAGGGTTTTTTAGTTCCAACCGGACATACAGTCAAAGACCTATGAAATATTCCATTTTGCAGAATCTGCAAACTGGATAAAACCACACCATGTCTCTCTTTTCTTGCTTTATTGAGAGTCTCATTGATCTAATTTACTTGCATGTTAAAAAAAATAAAAAGAGATTGGATGGCACTATTTTAAAAGCATATAAAATATGAAATAGTATATGTCTCTGTATTTTAGAGCCGCAGTGAGGTCCTTATTATATTAAGAACCATTATTTTAATCTTTTACAGTAGTACGTAATTATTTAGTAATAAAATTTTGTCATAGAACTAAAGTAGTTCTTTGTTCTAAATCTAATAAAACCAAATAACCATAAGCCTGGAAAAGATCATTTGAGGTCAAGTTCCAGTCTTTGGGCAAAATCAGCATCTCAGTTCAACCTGATTTTGATGCAAGAAGATACTTTTACTGTTGAGTAACGTTAACTAATTTTTATACCTCCTTGTCCTGGTTATCAGCAAAAATGATAAATACTTAGCACAGTAATAACTCTGAGAGAATGTCTCTTAGGGCAAAACACTATGACAAGCTCGATCAGTCACTGAGTCTTCTCGAAGTCTTCTCGAAGTCATTTGAACTTGAGTTGTAGGCACAGGTGAAAGGATAACTACACATTATACAAGTTTTGAGGCTTCCTTCCCCCAGTCCTGATTGCTGAAGATCAGCCATGGCGGTGATTATGGCTTTAGCTAGTCCAAGGTCATGGAGTGCCAAGAAGCAATTAACAGTATAACTTTTCTCTAGGCACCCAGTGAGAAGCCATGTAACCTATGCATATCGTTTGCTCACTGGTAGTGGAAAACTTTAACATGTACAGAGCTAGGGCTGTCGCTCAGTGAGTGTACAGTGCTTCCCTTGCATGTACAAGGGCTTAGGTACACAACCAGGCACTAGGAAGATAGAAAGCTGACATATAACCATTTGCCGTTTTCTGTTTGATCTTTCTTTCATTCTTGTTTTGTTGAGAGAATTTCGTCTGTGTTAGGCAGGATTTGTTCTTTCCATTTGATGACACGGAAATACAATTATTTTTTTGAGGTTTCCTGGCAGTTGATTGTTTTCTAGTTTACATGTTTTTGTTTTGCTTTATTTGTTTTTGCTTCATTATTAGTTTTCCTTAAAGATCATTTTTGTTACTACATTCTAAGGTTTGGTATCTCCATTTGTTCTTGGTTTATAAAGGCGAAATAGAGGATGTTTTGCAAAGAATTCAGAAGGCATCTGTGTTGATGACCAGGGCTTATGGATTTGTTCTGCACTTCAGAATTGAAAGGGGCGTTGAGCATCTTCTAATCAAAAATCCTCATTCCCAAATCACGAAATTAAGGCCCAGAGAGTACATGATATTTCTAAAACCAATATGTAAATTGAGCCAAACAACGACTTTGACTTTTCGATACCCAATTCGCTATTCTCTCTACTTCCTCTTCATATTTCAGTTTAGATGCTGAAAATAATTATGGCACTTACACTCATGATGGTCCCCCAAAATGTCTGCATCCTAATCCTCAAATGCCTGAACACGATACATTGCATCACAAAGAGAAATCGAGGTTTAATGTTCTTAACAAGCTAATTTAAAATGGGAAGACAGTGTTTGTTCATAAAGATCCACATGTCATTAAACAAGGACAAGGAAAACAGAAGAAGTCAGTGATTAGAAGTGAGATCTCAATTTGCCACTGCTGACTTTAGAGAGCAGGAAGGAGATCCATAGCTCAGGAATTCAGGTGGCCTCCAGGAGCTGCAAAAAACTCAGAGGGATCAGATTCTCCCCAAGAACTCTAGAAAAGAATATATCCCAGTGAGACCTATGTGGGACTTCTCACTTAACCAGAACTGTAAATTGATAAATCTATGTTGCTTTAAGCCACTAAGTTTGGGGTAAACTGCACACATTCAAAAACTAACGCACTAACAAAGTTTTGATGACTATTCAGTACAAGATCTTCTTTGTACAGATAAACTTTAAGATTTTATCTTTTCCATTTTTAAAATACTACCTTAAGAAAAGTTAAGTCATTAAGACAGTATTTGCTAAAAAGCCAAATCATTTAGTATTAATTTATTGCATTTTCCACTAACAGACACATGTTCATACCCAGATTCATCAAATGGAAGAGGAGCTATGGAACATTCAGAGGGAGACTCAGAGATGCTCTTGGGTCAAAGGGAGGAAAAGCAGGCTTTTGATGTGTTCCTGCAATTCTCTGTATGTCAGATAAAAAAAAATTTCAAGGCTTAAATGTGGATAATAAAGTTTCAGGGAATGGATCTCTGTCTTGTAATATTCACAGTGATCAAGGACACTGATGCTCAAAAGCTTTTGTCCCTTTTCCAAGCATAATTTCCACTCAAAGTAGGTGGGAGGTGAAAATAGATGTTTTCAGATCTGCTCCTTAGGAGCAGGATGCACAGGAATTTGCAACCAAGCTGTGCATTTATAGGAATAGGCAGGTGTTCTGGTTTGTTCTTTTCATTGCTGTGACAAAACACTCTGACCAATACCAACTTGGGGAGGAAAGGGTTTGTTCAGCTTACATCTCCCAGGTCGTAGTTCATCAGGGAGCCCAAGGCAGGAACTCAGGGCAGGAACCTGGAGGCAGGAGCTGGAGCACAGGCCTTGGAGAAACACTGCTTACTGGCTTGCTCCCCTGGCCCCTGCTCAGCCTGCTTTGTTATGCAACACAGGCCCACCTGCCCAGGAGTGGCACCACCCACAGTGGGCTGGGCCCTCCCACATCACTCATCAAGAAGATGCCCCACAGACATGGCCACAGGCCAGTCCAATAGAGGCAATCCCCCAACTGAGGCTCCCTCAACCCAGGTGTGTCAAGTTGACACTAAAGCTAACCAGCACAGCAGGCCTCGAAGAGTCTGTCTCCAATTCTTGTATTGCCTTCCTATTGAACTATTATTAAGCCAGCCAAATAGATAAGTGGACATTAGTTCTTTAAATCTGGTATCTTTCCACCTAATAAATATTTAGCGTTGTCAATATTTCTGAATTTCCAACCAGCAAGTTATGTTCCTAAAAATCTGGAGTTCGGCCCTCAGTTACCGAATCTATCAGTTACCTGGATGAGACTGAATAGGTTTCTGGGACAGGGGCTTTCAGTGCTAAAATCAGGCCCATCCGTGAGGAAGAAAAAACACACATAGGCCTCAAGTGCATATTGTTGTGTGGATGCCCAAGACCCTGAGGCAAAATTCCCAGGCATCAGAGGAACCCATTTCTGAGGTTAGGGTCACCCAGGTACTTGAAGTTTGGGCCAAGGAAGAGTCCATCTGATTCAGCCCCTTCAGTGTCCTCAATGGCTCATTTTTTACAGTCAATACCAGAATCTCCCTTAAGCAGCTCAGCTTGTATGGCCTCAAGAACAGTGAAAGCCAATGTGCGGATCCATGGAGAATGCACTGCATTCTCTGCATCCTAAGCCAGAGGCTCTCATCTTCGCATGCGCTTACTAGGGAAGAATACGCTCACATTCATAGAAACATCCACTTTGACTCACACAGGGTATTGATGAGCAACATGAAGAATGTTCTGGAGGCTCAGTTTGATAGCCACACCCGTGCAAGTGGACACAGCTACACAAAGTACAACAGCTGGGAAACGGTACTACGTGCCTTTGACTTTGGTAGACTTTTGGGGGGAGAGGGGATTGAAACAGCAACATAATATTAATCCATAATGATTCCCTTTGGTAGATAGAGGCTTGGACTCAACAAGTTGCCTCTGAGAATCCAGACCTCGTTTCTCGAAGTGTCATTGGAACCACATTTGAAGGACGTAATCTGTATGTCCTCAAGGTGAGTATTTTTAACCATGACCTTACCATATCTGAGTGATTTAAATCAAGGAGTTCTAAATTCATTAACATCTGTTTCGCTGATGTACTTATCTCTAAAATTGCTAGAACAAATAGATCCCTTGATTCTTTTAATTGTGCATGGATTTATTATTTTAAATTTTTTGACAGTTTCACACATGAACACTGTGTTGACATCACTTCACCCCACTTTCTCAGCCCTCATGACCTATCCCTTGATTAATATTGCTACACACACACACACACACACACACACACACACACACGAGTACTAAGTCCATTTAATGGCGCTGTGAATTTAACCACATTCCTGTAAGCATCTAAGTGATTGTCCACCTGGATGAAAGTCATCTCTTCCACCTGTGGTCTCCAAGGCCCTTTGTAAGCTGTAAGCTGTTGTTTACAAGTCATGTCTGTCACACCACTCACATTTATCAGACTTCATTACAGTGAATATCAACAAGTTGTTTCTGTTCTCAGTGCACTTTTTGTCATGTTAATTCCAATAAATGGAGAGAAGGGAGTTTTTCATAAAGTCAGCAACAGTCATAATTACTTATTACTCATCCAGTTGTAGTCACGTCGCTGAAAATAACCTTCACATGAGTACAGTGAATAGGGTGATGATGGTGATTATGGAAATGTGAGCTTGCTAAGCCTAATAAAGATGATGATGATAATGCGAGCTTTCAGCTTAAACATCATGACTGTCTAGAGACAAGAACAAACTGTGTTGGTGTTACGTGTTATCGGATGACACAGCTTGCTGCTGTCGGGTCTCACCTACCGAGTCGAAAACCCAGGCCAGCTGTGAATGCACCTCGCTATCCCAAGGGTACCACGTGATGGCTCTCATTTCCCTTTTCATTTTGTTCACATAGGTGGGCAAATCTAAAGCAAAGAAGCCTGCCGTCTTCATGGACTGTGGTTTCCATGCAAGAGAGTGGATTTCGCCTGCATTTTGTCAGTGGTTTGTGAGAGAGGTAGGTATATGTAGAATGACTTTTGGTAGAAGACATGCAAAGTGTTGATTTCCATTAATTCTTTTGTAACCTAACTAAAAAGACAAAGTAACACACACACAAACATCTACAATTCCAAGTTCCTGTTTGGGGAAATTCATTTCGACATTGTCAACAGACTTTGTAAGACAAGACTTTTTAAGTTAGATTTTTTTTTTTTTTTTAATTTCACTCAATTGTACTTTCTCACCTACCTTTGGTGGACAAGCTGACAGCTTGTACAGTGACTGGTCTTTTAAAAGTTGATAGTTATGGATAAATCAACAACTTGATTATTATCTCCTGATAAGCTTTAAATGTTAAAGTTTTAAATATCTGTATACCCATCTTGACATAAATATATGATTTCAAAAATAAATGAAAGAGAAAGAAAGAACTGCTTCTTGGGGGAGACTTATAATCAATAATGTGTACACAGGACAAACAAAATACTGAGTCACTTTGTGAACACCACAGTAATAATGCTCTTAGCAAATCCACTAAGGGATGCCAAAATTAGTAGGTAAAACTTTAAGGAGAAATATTTTCAGAGTCACAAAGTATTTTCCTTATAAAATACATTCATTAAAAAGGGGAAAATTACAGTAGAAAAAATATTTTCACCAAGTGCTTAAGATTAATATCACCAGCAACAAAAAACATATTGATATCGTGAGCCACCTCTGTTACGAAATGGAAAGACAGGGCACCTTTGCAATAGCCGTCCCCAAAGTGCATAACCTCTCTAATGATAAAAACTAATGATGAAAGAGCCAGACAAATTTAAACTGAGGGCCATTCGGCAAAATAACCAGAATAGTATTTGACAGGTAAAAGTAGCTGAAGGACGAACAGGGTTGATCAGGAGGAAACACCGAGACACAGATAAAATTCTCAGCAGGATAGAGTTTTGTTTCGGACAGGACAAGTTCCCTTCAGGGAAGGGACAATGTCAGCCCACAGATTGGAGCTGGGGCTTTTATAGGGGGACTTCAGGGGGTTTGTAAAACCTGCTCCCTTCTGTCTGCCAGCCAGGATCTGGGTCTGGAAGTGTCAGGGAAAAACTGCTGTACTAAAAGGCTCCTGAAGTCTCTGGTTAAAAGGTGGAATCTGTTTATCTTGTCTTCCGGAGTTCAAAGGAAAGGCAAGCTGCCTTTTAGAAGAGTCTGCTTCCCTTGACTTCAAAGACCAGGTGCTTATCAGCTCAGTTCCCTTTTCTCAGGGGCTTGTGAGGTCCTTGAGGCCCTCTTGGAGACAGGGAAGGCTGCTGTGGTTTCGAACCCTAATAGCATTTTTCAATAACGTAATCAGAAAAGATGAGAAAAGACTGAAAAATTATCCTGCAGCAGAGGAGACTAAAGGGTGTAAGAACCGGCTATTCCGGTACCAGCATACAATCCCAGACTTTGGGAGGTAGAGACAGGAGGATCAAGAATCCAAGGCCAGCTTTGACTGCATAGCAAGTTTGAGGCCATCCTGGGCTGTCTGAGAGCCTATCTCAAAAACAAGAGAAAAGAAGACGTAGCAAACAAAGTGAACATGAGATCCTAAATTAAGAAAAGGGATTAATGGAAAAACTAGTGAAAAGGAAATAAAAATCTCAAATTTAGTTTATGATAGTGTTTCCATGTTAATTTCTTTACTTTGATAATTATACTGAATACAAAAAACAAACCATAACATTAGAGAAAGCTAGACAAAGAGCACGTGAGAACTTCCTGTGCTGTTTGCAGCTCTTTCTCTAAGTCTAAAATCTTATATTGAAGTGCTTTTAAAATATAAGAATATTATCATACAAAACTTAATTGTTTAGGCTGGGTATGGTGGCACATGCCGTTAGTCCCACTACTCAAGAGGCAGAGGCAGGCAGATCGCTGTGAGATTGAGGCTAGTCTGGTCTTCATAGGGAGTTCCAGGCCAGCTGGGGCTACAGAGAGACCTTGTCTCAAAAACAAAAAAAAAAAAAAAAAAAAAAAAAAAAAAAAAAAACCAACTAATTTCTTTTTGAGAACTTCTGTATTGATTTACTATGGTTTATTCAGGTAAGCCTAGGAAACGGTTGAATTTGAATCTAAGATGGTGATTCAGTAGAAAACCTGTAAGTAAGAGAGCCTAGTAATTGGGCATGATACCTTCAATAAGGGATACTGCTTCCATTACCAAGTCAACATGCATCCAATCCGTGTAAATCCTTGCAGCGTCATGCATTTCATTTTTCCATGAAATCCTGCTTTGCTCTTCACATACAGGCTGTTCGCACCTATGGAACTGAGAGCCAAATGACGGAGCTTCTTAATGAATTAGACTTTTATGTCCTGCCTGTGTTGAATATTGATGGCTATGTCTACACCTGGACCAAGGTATATGAACCAAGAGGGACTGATGAAATTAGAATCAGTCACTGTCTGTGACGTTTGTACTAACTACCTATTCCACTTTCAGAGCCGAATGTGGAGAAAGACCCGCTCTACTCGTGCTGGAAATTCCTGTGTTGGTGTGGATCCCAACAGAAATTTTAATGCTGGTTGGTGTGGTAAGTATCCAGCTGACTATTTGTCACACAAGTTAAAAAACATAAGGGGCGGGGCTAGAGAGATGGCCCAGTGGTTAAAAGCACTGGCTGCCCTTGCTAAGGACCAGGGTTCAGTTCTGAGCAGACGGCCTGTAACTCCAGAGGCAGAGGATCCAACACCTTCTTCTGGCCTCTGCAGGAACCTACGCACACATACACAGGCAAACATATATATATATATAAAATCTTTAGAAAAAATAAGAGGAAAAATAGCACAAGAAAACAACAGGTCAATATTCAAAACAAACTGTAAAGTTTTATGTTTTGGAATTCTAACCTTTTGAAAAGACAGAAAACAGTTTCTTAATCTGTTTGATAAAAATGCATTGAGCACTCTTATGTTCCCAGCTAGGTTAAACGCTGGGGCATACAACTGAACACACCAGACATAATCTAAGTACTTATGAGATGTACGACCTACAGAATCTAACGAACATTTAAACACGGCCATCAGTGGCTGGAGAGGTGGATGACTCAGCAGTTAAGAATGCACCCACATAGTGGCTAACTATCTGTAACTCCAGTTCCAGGGGATCTGATACCCTCTTCTGGTCTCAGTAGATTTCACATGACATGGATGCACTTGCATACATGCAGGCAAAATATTCATGCACATAAAATAAAAATGAATAGATAAAAACTTTAAACACGATCATTAAATATTTAAATAAAAATGTAATGCAATTTCTTGATGTAGCAGAAAGACAGTGGTGATCTAATATGCAATTTCTTGCCCTGGAGTGATAGCTCAGCAGTTAAGAATACTGGCTGTTCTTGCAGAAGACCCAGGTTTGAATCCCAGCATGCATATGGTGGCTAACAACCATCCATAACGCTAGTTCCAGGAGATCTGATGCCTTCTTCTGTCCTCCATGGGCACTACGTAACATGGGTGCACTCACACACATGCAGGCAAAACACTGACACACATAAAAATAAATAAATTTTAATGTACAAATTATCATAGCAGTTGAAAAATGTATCTTAATCTCTTAAATACACATGTATATACACATACGGATGTTGGCATATGCACATATATGAAATCATGGAGAACTGTTGGAAGGACTCCTGAGAAAATTTATATTTAACTTCCAAATTTAAAATTTTGAAACACCAAGCATCTCTTACAAGAACATCAATAAGTACTTCCTGGCTGTTAATAGCAACATATATTTTTGCAGAAGCGGGAGCCTCTCGAAGCCCTTGCTCCGACACTTACTGTGGACCAGCCGCAGAGTCTGAAAAAGAGACCAAGGCTCTGGCTGATTTCATCCGTAACAACCTCTCTTCCATCAAGGCGTATCTGACAATCCACTCCTACTCCCAGCTAATACTCTATCCTTATTCCTATGATTATAAACTACCTAAGAACCATGAAGAGTTGGTAAGTAGATAAAATGATCGCTAGAACAGTTCACTGTTGAAACTGTGTTTCATTCTAATTCTGAAAAAAATGTAAGAATAATTTCTGCAAGTTCTCTTATTGACTTTTGGTAGTGGATATCTCTATCTATCTATCTATCTATCTATCTATATCTATATATATATATATATTTACAAGTGGATATATATATATTTACAAGGACTTGAGCTGGCTGGATAAATTGGATAAAAGAAATGGGATTGTGATACAGGGACTGATTCCCCATGTGGTTTATTAATTAATATTCAAAATTACAATAGTCCCAGAGCCTTTGGCTTTACCACAATATTGTATTGATTGCATCAGTTGCTTTTTCTGTTGCTGTGATAAAATACTCTGACAGAAAGCAAGTTAAGGAAGAAAGGGTTTATTTTGGCTTTCAGTTCCAGAGGGGATACAGTCCATCATGGCAGGAAAGGCATGGTGGCAGAGAGTGTGAGGTCCCTGTCAGTCAGGAAATGGAGGAGCCAGATTTCACCCACACATAGGAAGCAGAGAGAGAGAATGAGAAGGGGGACCCAGCTCTTAGAACCCCAGAACCCGCCCCAGTCACCTGCTTCCTCCAGCAAGGTTTTACTGCCTAAAGGTCAAACAGCACCACCGGCTGGAGACCAAGTGTTCGCACACATAAGCTTATGAGGGACGTTTCATATTCCAAGCATGACACTGTTTCAAAGAATTATTTAGATGTATTGGGGATAATCCACAAAGTTCCTTGATTGCAAACATTATTTTTGTCAGAGTCAATTTTGCCAAGTTGATTTGAGCTAGATTTGACATAAACAGAACATGGCAGACAGCATTAGGAAGTTAGAGCATTTAATAGATACCAGCTTTATCTCTTTTAGGGACCAAATAAAACATATACTACTGCAAATATGTCATGAGAAAGAAAAACAGAAAAATAATTCAGTCTCTTAGAAAACTGATAGCTAGTAGTTGGCCAAATCCTTTAAAAACTGTTTTTTCCAAAGCTTCCCATTTATCCTATCTGTAGTCAAAAAACAAACGGAAGAATCGTTAGGCAAAGCCACTAGCAATGTGTTTTTTCAGGGCACCCTGTCTCTGCATGTTCCCACTGGGAGCTCAGTTTCACTATGGGAAAGGCAGGTCTGGTCAGCTCCAGTTTCTATTCTACACTTTTGGGCCACAAGAGAGGAGGAAGCTGGGGCTTAATCCATACAAGGCGCCCCAGAATATGCCTTCAGCAGAACAGGAAATGATACAGGAAGAATGGGACTGTCTTACACATGGAGCGCAACCTGCCGTTAGCCATCCTGTGTTATTTAAGAAGAGCACAGAAGTGCTCGTGAGTTTCCACGGGTTGCACAAACCATCCAGCCCCCCAGTATAAGTTTCTTTAACATACTGCTACATTATCTTCAAATGAAATTTTAAGGCTCAGAAAAAATGCTTGCATTTTCAGAATCCTGAAGGATAATGAAATATTAAGCTTGGCGATTAATTTATTGTCAAAGGAAATAAAAACCGTGAGACATAGTGGAAAATCCTCCCAAACCTAGCCACATAGCTGCATTTATCACTGATGGAAAAGTTCCCAGTCTTTGGTTCCCTCACTTCAAGATGTCTTCATGACCTGATTAATATCAATAATAAAATAATAATACTGCTACTTCAAAATGAAACACAGAAGCCAGAGGGGTACCACGTGAGAACCTTGTCCCGCTCCACAGACTGAGCCAGCAGAAACTAGACAACTGCAAGGATGCCAATCTAGAGCACGAGGCTTGCATGATTTTTTTGCATTAGAAACTGAAAAATAATTTTAGAAATTCTCTAGTTCTGTTTCTCATTTTCCAACCTATACTGAAGGCTTGAATAAACTGACACTAACAGTGGGGTAGCCATGAGCCTAGAGGTAGTGACTACTGAAAAATTTTCTAGACAGTTCCAATTTCCAAAGACCCACACATTTATATGTCTGCATTCTACAGTGGTACCCCATGTGACTGTTTGAAGGACTTTTATCAGAAATCCGCTATGTAATTACCTCTGCCCCTGGATACAACTGAGGATTTACTCTGGTTGGTTCATATAATTGACTACTTAGAGCCCAATCTTTTCAATTCTGGCCCATTCTTTTGATGAGTATATATTCATTAACCAGGAGAAAAATGACTATAACCAGAAAAAAACAACAATGCTCTGAAAAACAAATGTGAACAAAGATAAAAATCCACTTCTGAAGTCTAGCACATTCCAATCTAGTGGTTTGTCACTCACTACCTCTTAACTAAATTTATAGTTAGTTATGAGTTATAGAAACAGAAGCCCACCACCTCATCCAAGCATGTGGACATAGCACAAGACCATGATTAGAGATAAATATCAAAGTCACAGGGAAGAAATACTGTGGTTGGGATATAGAAATACTGTGAATAATTGTAGTGCCACGCACATTCCCATCAGAGGTGTCACTGTGCCCCTGTCTAAAAACTAGTAAAGCAAGGCCATGGCTCCTCTGTCAAGCAGGCTACTGGCCACCGAGGTAAATAGAGTTTGAGACACAAGATATCTGCTTTAGGTGTTTTCTCAGAATTTCTCATTTCACATTTAAAAACCAAAAAGCTTTTGATGAAACAATAGAATGTCAGTTGGGCGTGGTGGCGCACGCCTTTAATCCCAGCACTCCCGGAGGCAGAGGCAGGAGGATCTCTGTGAGTTCAAGGCCAGCCTGGTCTACATAGTGAGTTCCAGGTCAGCTGGGGCTACAGGGAAACCCTGTCTCAAAAAGACCAAAAAAAAGAAAAGAAAAGAAAAAAGAAACAATAGAATGTCTTTTAATAAAGAAGATCATTGCAGATGTACCATTATAAACTTCAGGGCACCTACTAACCTGATAAATTTTTCCTAAGGGGGGTCTGGGTTATTAGAAATTTCACTGAGCATATACTAAGTTCACACATGTTATGGCTCTTACCAGCTGAATACTTAGGATCTTCTTGAAACTATGAAGTTCAGATACAAGAAACTAAAAAGACAGTTTGGGGAATTTTACTTTTGCATAGTTGCAGGAATTCCAGAGAGGGAGAGCAAAGTGTGCTACAGCTGTTCCGTGGAGAAGGTGGTCTGATTGGCTCTGAGCCTGGAGGTGTAGCCGTGATGTAAGTGGCTGGGGAAGGAACGGGGCATTTGAAGCAGAGGAAAGAGCCAACAGAAGTAAGACATGAACTGGAAGAATGTTCTTGATGGGAAAGAGGAATGGTGTGGTTCACTCAAGTTGACCAGCCTGTGGAAGAACCTGAGTGTCAGAATGAAACCTGTGTCACAGTGAGCAGCAGACCTACCGACAGGAGACAGCAGCCATGCCCATTACAGGACTCCCCATTTAATTGGGATTTCAGGAAAATAACTAATTTTTACTGTAAGTACCTCAACTACTTCATGAAAGACTCCCAACTAAAGCCATATTTACAGCTTCTCTGAAATTTACATTTAACTGGGAATCCTATGTTTCTGCCAAATCTAACAACCATCCGGTAAAGTGACATTTTTGGAAGATTGACCTAGGGCAGATACTGAGGCCTGTAATGTGATCAGCAGAGAAACACCTTTAAAACCTATTATTTCATTTTCATTTTTCCCTGAAGAAAGTTCTCATTTCCCAGGATTTTATCTTGAATCTCACTTTCAACTAATCTTGCTACTCACTCCCCAACCCCAGAGAAGATTCTGGCAATGTTTGCACGGCATTTTGATCAACATACTGTACAAGTTTTACTGACATCTCATGGTAGAGACCAAAAGATGCTGACAAAGATCCTCTAACGTAGAGCACTGCCCCTCCCCTACACACACACAAAGACAGACCCAGCCAAGATGTCAGAGGAGCTGAGGTTGAGAAACTCTGCTTTAAACAAAGATAAGAACAGAGTCACATTCCTGGCCAAGAGCTCTTGGCTTTCACAGACTCTAATGTCCTCCTCAAAAATAGTATGCGGTGTTCTGCAAACCTCAGCTGCCAAAGATTGCCACATCCCCATTACACAGTGTTTATTTTTAAAACGTGTTTGGGAGAAACGCCACTTCTACCAAAGACAAACAAAAATTGTCTGGACTAAAAATCCAACTGACTCATGCTTCACATTCCCCTTCAGTCTTAAAGAGCTGAAAAAAGATGTATGCAAAGCAGCCAAAGGGAAACAAGGGTTATATCAGTAAAAGGTTCCTGTATTCACTCCCATCTTGCTCCTGGGCTCTGCAGAAGATGCAGGTCCAGCTCTGCTAAACCATTTGTTCCTCTAACCCGTCCTTCACCGCAATCTCAGGGACTCTTTTTCTCTCAGAACCACACAGCTTTTTCCAGTTGCAAATGTTTTGTCCTCAGTGCCGGCTTTAAGTTTAAGGTCTTTTTGCACCCAAATGATAAAGCTAGCTTTTCTTAATGGTCCTTTGGTTAAGTTACATATTATCACAGCACAGAAGGAAGGAGACTGTAGTTGAAGATCATTTCGAGGCTCCCATTATCACATGTGTCTGCCCACAGGGATGGGTAATCTTTGGTATTTAAGCTAAAAACAATGTTCTGAAAAACTTTGTTTCCTCAATGCATATTTTTTATTGAATTTCGGTGCATTTCATACAATACATCTAATCATATTTAAACCTCCCTCTCCCATCCACACTTCCCATAGCCCCCCACCAGGTTTCATGCACTCTGTCGTATGTTAAGGCCTAGTGGGTCAAGCCAAGTTCATCCACTGTGATCTAGTCAGCCTACCTAGAGTCACTCCCTTAAAGAAGATCAGTCCTCCCTCACCCAGCAGTGATTGTTTGCCAATCGTTCCTCGGCTAAGGTTGGTCCATTTCCACAGCTGGGAACTTGCTTTTTCCCACACTGTAATGATAAGCCTCTGGCAGGCGAGGAAGGGCAGCCCACTGTCCCAGTGATGACTGTGTGCAGGAGAATGTGTGGAATGAAGGTGATGTGTCTATCATAAAGTAGGGGCCTTTATATCCAATGTTACCTGGGGACACAGGTCAGTGGAGAGGAACCCTCTGCTTATTCATCTCACTAGGCCCCTGGAGCCTAGAGCCCAGGGAATATTTACTGCTGTGGCCTTTGTCTCTTGGCCTTTGACCTAGATGTGACTGTCTTTTACTCTGTGACCAAGGCCTCTCTTGAAGGAAAGAGAAAACAAAAGTGAGCATGCACAGGATGGACTAGGAAATTCATATCTACGGATCAATAAAGGCTAGCCATGTTTGACCTTGACTGACAGCAAAACTTTATCTAGGCTGATTTACATCTAACTTCCTTCTGCTTTTTAGAATTGGTAGGACCAGTTCCAATAACATTATAGCATTAAATGGCTACAAGGACAAGTAAAAAAGAACATAGGATTTAAAGAAGGTCCTAGTTCAAGTCAGCCCCTTATGGAGCCATGTGCCCTTTGGCAAGTCCACTTATTCTCGCTGAATTCTGCTTCCTTTATCTGTAAAATGGGAATAAAAATATCTAGCTCTGATGAAGAACTCTGTAAAGTGTGGGTTTATGTAAATGTTAGTTATGATCTTGAAAGAATGCAAGACTTGCTCCTCAAGTGGCAGATTCCAAACACGGTGTCATTAACTAGAGTTTCAAGATTTGGGCTCTGCTTGCACTGTCCCTTCTTGGATCTTCTGGCTTCCTGATTCCTTTGGACAGAGACATGCAGGGGGAGGCAGTTACCTGACACTGTGGCAAATGCTAGACTCCATTTCCATCAACAGTTCCTGGCCGGGGCCAGAGTTTCTGCTTATTTGGAACATCCCACTGAGTATGCTGCTCCATGTGGCATTCCATTCTGCTAGAAAATTCTGTGTGATGAAATGTGGACAGATAATGTTGAGAAGATAAATGAGTAATATTTGTGAAATTATTTGAACCCTTCAAAAGAAAAGACCTACACTGATTGCAGGAATTTTTGTAAAGATAATTGGAATTTAAAATATATTTCAGTTGATGAATATCTGCTCTCACAGTTTTTTTCTGTCTCTTGGCTTCAGCAGGGATCAGAGAAAGGGTCTATAGACTTCCTCCTTTGTAATTAATTTCAGTGTCTAATTGTAACAGGCCATCAGTCATCACTACACGGTATCACTTCCCACCCTACTGCCTGCCACAGTCATCCCTGGTCTTTCTCTACTCAGGAGGGTTGCAGTCCAACTTTGGCAAAGCTCAGCACTATAAACCCCATATAATTATGGCCATTTATAGAAACCCTGACTCCCAGCACAGGACTCACTCTACCAACCTATGCTGAACAACCCACTGAAGATAGCAAACAGATATCCAAGCCGAACCTGAACACGACAGTCTTGAGTTCAAGGTCAACCTGAGCTGCCTCAGAACAAAGAGCAGAAGCAAAGGAAGATGCCAAGAGTCCTGTCCTGTGTGGAGCTCGTCTTCAGCTATAATAGATGCCCAAACAACTGATCCCAACTCTAATAGAGCTGAGCCACCACAAAGAAGCTTTCAGACCATGGCTCTGAAAGAACGTTAGGGGAAAAGTCACCAAGAAGATAATGTGAAAAGTAAATCTGACAGATGAATAGAAAGTATCTGTTTAAGCAAGGAGGGAAAGAGCTTTGAGTGAAGGAAGAAGAGCCCCCAAAGTCACAGGGTAAAGAGAGGGAGAGGAGAGCGTGTAGTGGAGTGAGTCAACAAGTATGTGAGACGGTAACACGAGCGACATAGCTCGACAAGGAAGACTGCGGCTAGTTCACAAGGGTTCTATTTGCAGAAAAAGAAGGTGGCTGTCGATAGATGACAGAGCTGTTGAAGATGTATGGTGAGGTGACCTTCAAAAGAGGGAGATAAACATCCAGATGAGAGGGCAGCTGAGGACCAGGAAAGCAGAGGCCAAGGCACAAACTCAACGTTCCTTTAATGTTCACGGTGATGGCAATGAAATAGCAGCTTTAAGGCCAGCGTCCGTCTCAGACAGAACCGACTCCAAAGGAAATTTGCATGAGCTGCACAATCACTTGTGTGCTTAGCTGCTAATGCTCCTGCCCTGATTCACATCATCCTATAATGACTCAGTGTTGACTTTCTGCCCACCACATTGTCGAGTCATTTTTGTTTTGTTTGGCTTTTTGTGTATGTTTGGTTTTTGTACAGAGATGTCAACAAGCCCCACACATGGCCACAAAGATCTTCCTGCCTTTGCTTTTCTCTCACAAGCTCCCAAAATTAAATAGATAGAAGCTCAAGGTGAATATCTGTGGAGAATGTGGGGAGAGACGTCCTTCCACAAAAATTCCTTGTAAAGCTTAATATGGCTGTTACTGAAAACATTGAAATGCACATTGGAGGTATAAAATACTAACCCAAATGTGGCATAAATGTATTCGGGTCTTTGCAATGAGTGGACAGGGTATGTGTGTTTGTTCGGCATTGTATGTTTTGTTTATTTACTTATGTATTGCTGGTTCTTTTGCAGGATACCCTGGCAAAAGGTGCAGCAAAGGAACTTGCCACACTGTATGGTACCAAGTATACATATGGCCCAGGAGCAACAACGATCTGTAAGTCTTGGCTTCAGAACTGTGCAAAAGAACATGATGTCTAAAAAGACAACAAACGGTTCTCAACCTTCCTTTTCGCACCATTTAAAACATACGGCATTGCCTCATGATTATTTTTAATGAAATATATAATATTTTTTCTACTCAAAAAATATAGAAAGATCATTTTCAAACCACAGTAGCATTTGCTTTCTATAAGCATCTCTTGAGCACCTGCTCTGTGCCAGACCCTCAGTAGATGCTAAAATCTTAACAAATAAAGATTCAGAGGAGGGGAGTGAGAAAGAAAAAGCGGGAGGTGTAGACCAGAGCAGTCCTCAAAGAAGCCACCAAAGGGAAGCAGGGGAAATAATGCGGACGCCAAGTGGTATGGTATTCAGGATCGGAAGTAAGACCATCCCCAGACTACGTGCCCTGTGGAGCCAGGGACCACCATTTCCCAGGAGGATGGCTCAGATGTTTAGCTGAAGCATCTTTACAGAACCAAAACAGAATAGGAAGTAATTTCCTGGCAAAGAGGCTGCAGGCAGGAAGGCTTCTCGAGGAATAAGCCACCCCTCACAAATGCCCGGTCCCTCCAAGTGTGCCAACAAGCAGAAAAAAACACACAGGAGAGGAAGGCACGTGGACTTTTATTCAGCCGTAGAGAAAAATGAAATTATACAGTCTGAAGAAAAATGGATGGACTGGGAAAATATTACACTGAGTGGTGTAACCAAGGCAGAAAAAAGACAAACACTGCACGGTCTCTGTCATAGGCAGAGCTCAGCTTCGTGGGTATATTCATATGGGAGCCAGTGTGCACAGATGCCAGGTATCTAGAAGAGGGTCCGTGAGAGTAGGGTTGGGGGAGGCCTGAGGAGAAACGGATAGAGTCTGATAAAGCACAGGATATGTAGAAGTGAGAAGAGGGACTCTAGGGGGGGGTTTGAGTTGGATGAGGGGTGGCGGGGTGGGAGGCAGGAAGACTAGGGGACAAAGGAGTAGCAAGGAAAGCCAAGTATGTATAAAAATGCAAGAGAAGTAAACAATAAAAGAAGCAAGCAGAAAAGAGTTAGGGGCATGTGAGATCCCAGAGAGATGGACACGGTGGGAATTCAAACTGCTCTTCAAGCACAGCCTCCGCAGGACCCGTTTTCTATTTCTATGTTCCTCTGCCTCCAAAGGATTTCTTTCTGTTCAAGTTCTGAATGGAATACAAAAGGCGCACAAGGCGAAAATTCCAGTTCTGTCATCAAGGGGCCCCCACTGCAGCTGAGGAGGCTCCAGCCCTGTGGCTGCATTTTTTTCAAGCCGAATACAAAATACTGTTTTCTGTCGTCTTACTTGTAAGAAGTCTTCTTAAAAGTAGTTCCAGCAGAAATAAGTCACTTGCTCATATATTTCAGACTAGTTAAATTGGGTTTCTTTTGCCATTGCACGGTAAGCCTCTGTCCTGTATCTCTGAAGTTGAGTAACAGGGCTTGCAGTTCAGGGGGGCGGGGGGGCACGCAATTCTTGATTAAACAAATAGATGAACAACAAATGAACAAATGTATATTCTATGTGTTAGTGACAACAGAATTGTTATTAAATGAATTAACTGAATGAATAATTATGCCCAGCCATGTGTTAGACACCAGAGATAAAGAATCAAGGCCTAGAGGTGGGCAGCAGGAAGGTTCTGTGGTAAAGCACTTGCCTAATACGTTCAAGGCCCTGGACTTGGATCTTTAGCACTGGAGAGGGTGCTGTGTCTTATCCTTCTCCACGGTGTCTGCAGTTGAAGTGCTGTCCCCTTACCACTCCATTTTCCTCCTTTTCCTGGGAGATATGAATTCTTTCCTGAGATGTTCTTAGTGTGCCTTACCATAGCATAAAACCCACTGAAAATTTCACACTGCTGGGAATCATACTAAGATCATTCCCACAAAATACATCTAGGGGTAAAACTAGATGAATTTTTCTAAATGGTCCTCAAAGAATTTTTCAGTTGACTAGAGTTTGCCTACTTATAATGTTTCACACAGTGAAACATTTATAATCATTAAAGGGCACTGGTGATTTCATTTAACCTCCTTCTTAAAGATTGTTTTCCCCTGATTTTTGCTCATTTCAGATCCTGCTGCCGGAGGCTCTGATGACTGGGCTTATGACCAAGGAGTCAAATACTCCTTCACCTTTGAACTCCGGGATACAGGTTATTATGGCTTTCTGCTTCCTGAGTCCCAGATCAAGGCCACCTGTGAGGAGACGATGCTTGCAGTCAAGTACATTGTCAGTTACATCAGAGAGCACCTGTACTAGAGAAGGGTGTGGGACCCTCACCTCAAATGCTCGCTCTTCATTTCTTGTCTGTCCTGTCTTTTTATTTTTTGTTTGGCTGGAGGCATTGCAGACCCTAATCTTTCTTTTAAGCTTCTGGGTGAATTAAAGTACTTGGATCTTTAAAAACTGATCCTAATAAAAGTAAATCATTGTAACTGGAAGATCGTCTGTTTTGAGGTCTGTGCTGGGGGGCCGTGAACACAAGCTGTGTGCAGGTGAGGCTGTGCTCAGCCATGGAGAAGCTCCATACAGATGGAAGGTGGCATGTTAGTCTGGGTTTTTGTCTTAGCTTATTCAAGGGACATAATGAGATATCTTCAGCATGCCAAGAACTTTACTAAACAACTGAAGACAGAGCAGTGAGAGAGATGATTGCATGTCTACCCTTGCTGGATACAGGCCATTAAAGACAGACATTACAAAATTAATTAATTATTAGTGGGGGGTTTTGTGCTTGTGGACCTGGCTTTGCATAGTCGCCCACCCCCCATCCTCCACTCCCCCCACCCCACCCCTGGGGACACCAAGGCCTGATCTACCCCTCTGTTCTGGTCACTGGGAGCAAAGGAGCTCTGGGCCGACCGACAATTCTCGAGAGGACTAGTTATTTATAATAAGCAAGTTTTAGACTTCACAAAAAGAACATGAGACGCTTCTCCCTCCTTCAACCTCTTCAATTGGTGGGCCCAGAGCCACCTCTGAACTCTTCTCCAAGCTCCCAGCTTTTTGTAACAACAGTTAATGGCTATGCCAAGTCTTTCTTTCATGGAAGGGGTGGGGGATTAGAAAATAGCAAGACATTTTCTATTTTCACTTATGGAATGTATGCGGCTCTAGAGCCCAGTGCTATATATTCCTCTGCCTTTGTAAACTGCTCATGAATTGATCGAAGATTTTTCTAGAAAGAAGAGAGGAAAAAAACATGAAAAATTAGCCATTTAATTTGGGGACCAGTGGAATTTTGGCGAGCTGTCTCACTAGAAGAGGTAGTCACTGTCCTCTACCTTGCCTGAATCATACACTACACACCTTTGTCTGCAGCTAATGAAGACAAATTTCTCTACAACTCTACGGGGTATTTTGTTTCAATTTAAAAAACCCAACTGGTTCTTAGCTGGTAAGGGCACTTGCTGCCAAGCTTGACAACCTGAGTCCAGTTCCCTGAACCCACATGGTGGGAGAATCTGCTCCACAGAGCTGTGCTCTGACCGTCACATTCAGCACTGAGCACTTCACATTCAGCACTGAGCACTTCACATTCAGCACCTCACGTTGAGCACACGCTAAACAAAGAGATAAATAATAATGAATGAATAGAGGGCTTCTAATTTCTTTTTAAAAAGAACCCAACATCTTAGTTTAATCTACAGCATCATGGGAAAAAATAAATCCACCATCTACAGCTAAAAGCAACATTTTTTTTTCTCTCAAACCCTTGGATAAGATATCTAAAGGTATTCTAGCAGTTTGTTGAATGGAATTTGAAGAATTATTTGAAAGATTCTACTAGCTCATAAGAAAACTTTCATTTCTGTTTTCTATGATTTTTTTATGGCAATAATCTTTGAAAGCAGAAAAGCATAGTTAAAACCCTGAGGTGCTATCTTACACTGTCCTTAGACAACCCCTGCTACAAAAATCTTAGGAGCGTGTGGCTCCAGCAGGATAGAAAACCGTGGTTGTGTGAAGTATTCAGCTTGTGCTTTAAAGAGACAAGTTGAGCCTGTGAAATACTGAAGGTTTCCAGAGTCCGTCCAAAAATGATATGATGTTTCAAAACTGTTCATTTGTATAGACGAACTCCATTTCTGAAACAATAGACATTGCAAATCCAAAGATGTGGTTTTATTTGTCATCAACACTAAGAGAATCACTCTCCTCTAAACATATCTAGATCCCCAGAAAAATCAAGTGCCTTTCCTATAGGACCTAAAGAAAAAACACACTCAAGGGACAACTTGTGAGAGTTGGTTCTTTCCTTCCAACGTGCAAGTTCCAGAGATGGAACTCAGATCATCAGGTGTGGCGGCAGTGTTCTCTAATTCTATAACAGAAAAGGCAGAAAGAAAATATATTAGAAAGACAGAATTAAGGGAGATTATTGTTTGTCTTTTTCAATTTCCCTATAATTTGAATTTTCTTCAATGGTCAATTTTAAGTTTTAGAATCTGAGGATTAAATTCCTACAAATGTTTAAACAACAGAATGTGCTTCTTGAAGTAGCAGCTATTGGCATAAATACGGGAGAGGTTTCATCCACCGTTTTAATCTATTGCATGATATGTATTGATAATGATCAGTCATGCAGCCTAGCACTGGCCATTATAAGTCTCTATTTATAGAAACGGGCAGTAGCCTAGAAGGTGCGCTCATATTTTTTTAAATTTTTTATTAGCAGTGCTTTCTTTAAAAAGTAACATGATTATATTGAAGAACTTTGTAAAAGTGGGAGAATTGGGAAACGGGGTGAAAGCCAAACTCACATTACAGCAACAGTGACAAATTTCACATTATCATGAAGCTTGGTAGTATAGTTTTTCAGTAAATAATATTCAGTCAATTCTAGTAGACATATAGAATTGTGAGTTTGCATTCTAAACCATGGCACTTACCCAGATTCATTTGGGCTTCCAAGTATAAGTTTAAAATGCCTCTGTTGTTGTACATATAACAAAGACATTTCAAGAATATAATTTTCATAATTATATAACAAAGCTTGCCATGGCAGCACACCACATCAAGAACAGAGACCAGGGAGGTGGCTGTGCAGGTAAGGGCACTTGCCACCCAGCCTGATGACCTGAGTTCAATCCCCGGGCTCCACATGGTGGCAGGAGAGAACAGACTTTGAAAGGTGTCCTCTGACCTCCACACACATGCCATACTGTGCACAAGTCCCACTCCAAACCACATATACATACATACACATACAAATAAAATTAATTAATTAAATATAATAAAAATCAAAATTTAAAACATTAGAATGTATTCCTTCTGCTGTTAAATTCAAGCGTACTGGTAGGTTAGTGTTTTGGAAGAACAGAACCGAGTTCCAGTCATAGTACTGTGAATATACTCACCCCATCACATGTGCAGGCTACTTTCTAAAGCAATCTGCTTTCCATTCTTTTTCTGTGAAACGAAGGTAACTGGGAGACATGGGTATTTAAGTGTTCTTGCTTTCTCCCCAACTGTAAAAACACGAGGAGGAAGGGCAGTTCATCCCTTGGAGCCCCAGAGGAAATCAGCTGCCCCTGATAAAAGCTGAGATATAAAACCAGTAGAGGGTGTCCAGTCAGGCAAAGAAGAATCATGAAGTTTATTCTGCCAGTGGGTTTTATCGCTGCTGCCCTTGCAATGGCTCCTGTCCGCTTTGACAGGTAAGTCCCACTTCCTGTGATCCAGATTCTGGGTGAGAAGAAAATTGAGGAATGTGCCTTTACGAGTCGCTGATTTTTGATCATTTGCTTGTCTGTGTTTGTTGTCTTTTCCCTACTTGAAGGGAGAAGGTGTTCCGTGTGAAGCCCCAGGATGGAAAACAAGCGAGCGTCCTGAAGGGCCTGACCAAGGCCCATGAGGTAAAGTCCCTAGAGGGACGTTATGTCTTTCCTTCCTCGCCTCTGAAAGATGCTTCTTTTTATTTTATTTTTAATGCCCACAGGGCTGCCAAAGGCTGACAAAGAGAAAATGACAGGAATTATTTGGCTGCTTCAGGCCTTGGCCAACACTATACTTGTTTGTTTTTCTTTCCACAGAACACCATTTACTTTTCCTTCCCAAAGCTTTGCCAACAACTTCTTCTAAGTGAAACTGTAATACAAGGCAGCAAGGGGGCGTTCTCAGGAGCTTTCTCAGGGCCATCCCCCTGCTGGCACTCTTCACGGTCCACATACTCACTCTTATCTCCTCTGGTGGCATGACCTCTGTTCAAGTAAGAACTAGTAACACCAAAGTGTTGGTCAACATTAAGATATCACCTTTCAGAAGAGCAGGTGCACTGAAAAAGGAGACTCTTAAATGTAGCTCAGTCCTTTAAAATGCAACAGGCCAAGACACAAATAAGCAACCAATTAAACATTTTCTATCGTTTATTCCACTGCTCCTGTACACAGCGCACATTGTCCCAGCCACCTTCTTCACATCATTTCATAACTGCCAACAGATTTGCCATGTGATAGACCTTCCTAATTTAACTCCCTTAAAAAGATTTTATTCATTTTTATTTTCTGTATGCGTGTTCCCTGCATGTACATAAGTGTACCCATGTGTGCAATGCCCACAGAGGCCAGAAGGCATCAGATCCCCTGGAAGTGGACGTAAGAATGGTTGTTAGCCTCTATATGGGTGCCGGGAACTGAACGCAGTTCCTCTGCAAGAGCAGCCAGTGCTCTTAACTACAGAGACATCTCTCCAGCCTCACTAACTTAATTCCTTTAAAACAGGAACTAAAATTAAACGATAGCAAACCAAATAACCAAGATTACATCAGATTTAAAGTCAGAACCAAACCTGGGTTTCATTCTAGTCACACATACTCTTGCCTTCAGTCAAATCAATCACTTCTGCCTATCCTAATCCTAAATATTCTTCACATCCACCCTGTCCTCTCCTCTGCACTGCCAGGGTCAAGTCTATTCTGTCTCTTACTGGGGAAGTTCTTACGTTCCCTTCTCTAAAACACCAACATTCAAGGTTTTGGTTCTACCTCCAGAAAGCCAAGGGTCCACTGCAATCTTAACACTTGACAATTGACACCATGCTCCTCAGAGCCAGATCATGAGGTTCAAATCTGGGACATGCCCACAGTCTAGGTATGATGGGTAGAAGCTGAGCCTTTTCTTGACATCTCCCAGATTGGAAATTCCAACTTCAGTCAGTTTCAAAATGGACTGTGATTTTGAAGAAATCCAAGAACTGAAATCTGAAGCTATTTTAACCTGAATGTTATCTTTGTGGGCTCATTCACCAAATTTCTGAAATTCTCAGTTCTGGGAACATAAAGAAAGGAAATCAGCCTTACTAAATTCCAGGATGTCTCAGACCTTATATTCATTTCACAACTCCCACAACACTCCCAGGGAGTCTTATTAATCCTGTTTTTCATTGAAGCAGACTGAAAAAAAAATCAGTTTTGGTAACTTGATGAAGGACATATTACTAAAGAAATAAAACAAAATGAGAATGCTGGTAGACTACACCTTCTTGTTAGACATGGACCTTCCCTGCAATTCCAGAATTCAATTAAAGCCAGATACCATGACTAAACCAATTATGAAATAACGCCACTTAATTCCACATGACAAAAGCAAGAGGATATTAGCTTAAAAAAAAAACCTGTCTATTCTATTTGCATTAATAAATGCAGTCACTTAAAATAGTGATTAGTGGGGCTGGAGAGATGGCTCAGCAGTTAAGAACACTGGTTGTTCTTGCAGAAGACCCGGCTTGGAATCCCAGCACCCACATGGCAGCTAACAACTGTCCGTAACTCCAATTCCAGGAGATCTGATGGCCTCTTCTGTCCTCCGCAGTCATTGCACGACACGGGTGCACTTACCTACCTGCAGGCAATATACTCATACACATAAAATAAAAATAATAAACAAAGTATGTTTTAAAAATAGTGATTAGTAAAAATGATTTTTTCTACTCCTTAATATTCAACAATTCTTAAATATATTTGCAAAAATCTCATTAGTTTATTCATTACAATGAATCCCAGTTCTCTTCATGATGCATAACACACAGTTATTGAGTATGGGGAAGAGGTATGCATACCTGCGGCGGAGATGCAGGTACCTACATGTACACAGAGGTGAGGAGATCATCAACTGTCTTGCTCTGTCACTTTCTGTCTTACTCATTTGAGCCAGAGTCTCTCACTGAACCTGATGGACAGCAAACCCCAGCCATCCTTATGTTTTTGTCTCCTACAGCTTTGGGATTACAAGAATGCATGGCCACACTCAGGGTTTTAAACAAATGCATGTTTAGAAAGCACATGAAGCATGACTAATAATGAACTTGCCTCTGCAGCTTGACTTGTGGTACCCAGATGCTATCCATGATGTGGCTGCTAACATAACAGTGGATTTCCGAGTTAGTGAAAAGGACTCTCAGGCCATCCAGTCTACCTTGGACCAAAATAAAATGCAGTATAAGTAAGTCCTTTGGAATTTCCGTACATGTGCATAGCCAAAGTTTTGGTAACCTTAAAATTTTGAGGAAAGTATTACAATGGAATTTTTTTGAGAATTTCATACATAAGTACACTGTACTTACTTTGTTCTTACCCTCCTCTGCCCATTCCAATTCCTCCTGTGTCCCTCTCTTCTCCCTCTGGAATTCATGACCTCTTCCTTTGTAATTATGCCA